ACAGATAACAGCAGTATGCAGAGAAGCTGCCTTGCTGGCCCTGCAAGAGGACATCAAAGCACAGCTCATCATGGCGAGACACTTTGAAAGCGCCCTGAACGCCGTGAAGCCTAGAGTTCCAGACTCTCTCATCCAGTTGTATATCAACTATCAACAGCAACGCGGCCTGCGCTTCTTCTGACGTCGGCGTGAAAAAATAAGCACTAGGCCTACAGTCACCGAAACAGTTCCGGACCGACTGCATATGGTTACCATAAATGCAGTTATCCACTGGAGTCGCAAGGGTTTCCAAATGGACATTACATCAGTGAATAGGCCGCAGCGTTTCCCAAACTCGGTCCTGGGGACCCCAAGGGTTGCACTTTTTTTTTTCTCCATAGCACTACACAGCTGATTCAAATAATCAACTCATCATCAAGCTTTGATTATTTGATTCAGCTGTGTAGTGCTAGGGCAAAAACCAATATGTGCACACTTGGGGTCCCCAGGACCGAGTTTAGGAAACACTGGATTAGGGGGTGGGTGGGGGGGGGGGCTGGTCCAACTCAAGGTGTCATAAAAAAATGCCCCCCAAAGTTACAAATATTTTCACATGACCCTCCCCTTGTACTGTAAAATAAATTGAACACCCTCCCCCCTCATAGAATTAACTCAAAATAATGTTTACGACCGCAAATAACAACTGTAGAAATCCTGTGTTTAAATAAAATAAAATAACATTTGATTTGTCACATACACGTGTTTAGCAGATGTTATAGCGGGTGTAGCGAAATGCTTGTGCTTCTAGCTCCGACAGTGCAGTAATATCTAACGAGTAATATCTAACAATTTCACAACATATACTTAATACACACAAAACTAGTAAGGAATGGAATTTAAGAAAATATGCATATATGGACAAGCAATGACAGAGCAGCATGGACTAAGATACAGTAGAATATTATAGAATAGAATACAGTATATACATATGAGATGAGTAGTGCAAGATATGTAAACATTATTAAAGTGACTGTAAACATTATTAAAGTGACTAGTGTTCCATTTCTTAAAGTGGCCAGTGATTTCAATAGGCAGCAGCAGCCTCTAATGTGCTCTTAGGAAATCATGTGTTTATAAACGTGGATATCGACTTTGCCACTTCAGCATGCTTTTGTTTCACAGTTGATGCCACGCAGGGCTACGGGCCAGAAGGTTGAGGGTTCGCCGACCACCACAGACGAGCTCACTCTCCCTGCAGACAATTATCAGCTAAGGGGAAATCAGATTTTCAACATTTTGACACCATATTTATAATTATATAAAATATATGCAACAAATTTTCCACCAACAAGTTTCTGTGCCATTGCACCCACAACCAATAAACAAAGCATACCGACTACGGGCACTTCAATATCATGGTTTGCGTTTTCAACACCACAATAAATAGACTATGTCAATCTGGACAAACAGAAAATGCATCCCTCCCTACCGTGTAGGCTTACCCAGTATCAAAGGCTTGGCTTGATAATCTACAAATGTTATTAAACGTTTTGGTGTTTTGTAACATGTCTCTTTAAATTAATGAATTGGCCGCTGCACAGTTTGGATTGATTGATTTTATTGATTTTATTTGTCAGTTAAAAATAATACATATAACTCAGCAAAAAAAGAAACGTCCCTTTTTCAGGACCCTGTCTTTCAAAGATAATTAGTAAAAATCCAAATAACTTCACAGATCTTCATTGTAAAGGGTTTAAAAGTTTCCCATGCTTGTTCAATTAACCATAAACAATGAATGAACATGCACCTGAGGAACAGTCATTAAGACACTAACAGCTTACAGGCGGTAGGCAATTAAGGTCACAGTTATGAAAACTTAGGACACTAAAGAGGCCTTTCTACTGACTCTGAAAAACACCAAACGAAAGATGCCCAGGGTCCCTGCTCATCTGCGTGAACGTGCCTTAGGCATGCTGCAAGGAGGCATGAGGACTACAGATGTGGCCAGGGCAATAAATTGCAATGTCCGTACTGTGAGACACCTAAGACAGCACTACACGGAGACAGGACGGACAGCTGATCGTCTTCGCAGTGGCAGACCATGTGTAACAACACCTGCACAGGATCGGTACATCTGAACATCACACCTGCGGGACAGGTACAGGATGGCAACAACAACTGCCCGAGGTACACCAGGAACGCACAATCCCTCCATCAGTGCTCAGACTGTCCGCAATAGCCTGAGAGAGGCTGGACTGAGGGCTTGTAGGCCTGTTGTAAGGCAGGTCCTCACCAGATATCACCGGCAACAACGTTGACTATGGGCACAAACCGACCGTCGCAAAAAGTGCTCTTCACTGACGAGTCGCAGTTTTGTCTCACCAGGGGTGATGGTTGGATTCGCGTTTATCGTCGAAGGAATGAGCGTTACACCGAGGCCTGTACTCTAGAGCGGGATCGATTTGGAGGTGGAGGGTCCGTCATGGTCTGGGGCGGTGTGTCACAGCATCATCGGACTGAGCTTGTTGTCATTGCAGGCAATCTCAACGCTGTGTGTTACAGGGAAGACATCCTCCTCCCTCATGTGGTACCCTTCCTGCAGGCTCATCCTGACATGACCCTCCAGTATGACAATGCCACCAGCCATACTGCTCGTTCTGTGCGTGATTTCCTGCAAGACAGGAATGTCCGTGTTCTGCCATGGCCAGCGAAGAGCCCGGATCGCAATCCCATTGAGCACATCTGGGACCTGTTGGATCGGAGGGTGAGGACTAGGGCCATTCCCCCCAGAAATGTCTGGGAACTTGCAGGTGCCTTGGTGGAAGAGTGGGGTAACATCTCACAGCAAGCACTGGCAAATCTGGTGCAGTCCATGAGGAGGAGATGCACTGCAGTACTTAATGCAGCTGGTGGCCACACCAGATACTGACTGTTACTTTTGATTTTGACCCCCCCCCCCCCCTTTGTTCATGGACACATTATTCCATTTCTGTTTGTCACGTCTGTGGAACTTGTCTCAGTTGTTGAATCTTGTTATGTTCACACAAATATTTACACATGAAAATAAACGCAGTTGACAGTGAGAGGACGTTTCTTTTTTTTGCTGAGTTTATACACAAATATTTTTTTTAAGTGACCGGGATTGCACAATAAAGTTGGGGACTTATTTCCATTGTGGTCTCTAGTTTTTACATAAGTACATATACAATTACAGAGATACAGACACATTACAGAGATACAGACAAAAAAAATGCTCAACCTCCAGATGAGTATGAGGGGGGTTTAAGTTCAATTCTTACAAGCTTGTTTGGCTGGTAGCTTATTCTATAGCTGTTTGGGGCTGCTGGTGAACCATGATGTGCAGGCATAATCAAAGTGGCACTGGACTAGTCCACTTGCCAAAGCCTTTAGGGTGTCTATAGCTAGGTTTCCATCCAATTGGCGACAGATTTTCATGCGAGTAATGTAAAATCTTCATAAAAACAATATGCCATTTGAGAGTTTCCTTGAAGAAAATGTGGCGGCAGACAACATGACAGGGAAGATTTTAATGAACCGTACCTTTGAGAAATGTAATGGACAGCCATATGCATTCAGATCCAACCTGGCACAGCCAGCACAACCAATAAACAAGGGATATTGGCCAAATGAGCCACATTTACATGTCCTTAAAACAAATAGAGTTAGACTACTTTCCTAATAATTGTCCACCTCATGGTTCAGCTGTCAGAGATTTGAGCACTAAATGTATCAGGTCATTGCATGCATGAAATTAATATTTTAATATATATATATATATATATATATATATATATATATATATATATATATAGCCTATATAAAGGAAGAGAAGCTTAGTCCTAACCCCGTAGAGATAGAGATATGCCGGTGGCATGCTACTACACCTACATGCATTTATTTATGTCAGATGGCTACTGCGTCTGCTATACAGATATAGACAACATACAGGAGGGTAATTCGTTAATTTTCTATTAACACATGAACCTCCACCTAAGCAAATAAAAAAAAGTTTGACAACCCTTCCCTATTTTGGACCACCCCTCCCCCATTACATTTCGATCTGCCCCTTTGATTTTTGCATTGGGTGAAAAGTTTGAAGGAAACGTTTGCATTCAACTTTAATAATGTGCTTTACATTTGGTTTGCATTTGCGTATTGGCTGTATCCTGGGGGAGAAAAAGAAGCACGGATGGTATATTAATCATTGCATCCATGGAAAATCTGTTAATTACTGTAATCCTAAAATTTCCAACCGCTCTCCGCACATCCGACCACTATGAAGAGGTTCCCATCTGTCGTTTGGGAATCCAGCAGCAGTTGCTTTATCATCAAGCATGAAGCTTACAAACTACTTTTTTATATTGCCTATCCAGCCCAAACATCAGAGGCATAGGCCTACAGATGCATTTATCAGTCCGTTAATGTAGAAGTATTGTGGAAATGTCTGACCCGAGATGGTATTGAGGTCATTCATCTATTGATTTTTCCGTTTGAAGAGAATAAATTGACTTTGTATTGAACTTCCTTTTCTCATGGATCCGGATGTAGCGCATCCGCGACACCAATCAAACCAGACAGTCAAGAACAGAGGGGGGGAGGCGGCGGGTGGAGGAATCTTTCCCCTAGCTTGCGGGGTGCCTTTTTCTTAAGGTGGCTCCGAAGTTATGTTTAGGCCTACTGTTTCACTGGCGTTATAAAACAGAGTAATGGAGGCGTTGTCATTTCATTTTCTATATATCCCATTTAATTATGGTATTTTAGATTTAGGCCTTACGCCAACAGTATTCCATTCTAAAATTATTTTCTGTTTTGAGTATGATTTCTTATAAAAAGTGATACTTTTGTTGCCACTGTTCCATAGTTTGTAACCACAAGAACAGAAATGAGCTTTCTCTGCTATTTTAAACCGCTCCACCTTAACTGCTGCACACATCTCTATCGCCCGGCCTTTCACATCTGCCCAATGAATTAAGAGCGGATGCGATGTATCCTTTTTCAGTGGAGTGAATGGCCAATGGGAGTTGGCTTGTCGAGCAAACACTGAGCTCTACATTCTCATTCATTCAGAGTTAGACAGGCATGCAGTGTTGAAGAGCACGTCCTCGATTAGCGCTTGCTTTTGAGCATTCCGCACAACAAAAACCTACTTTGACTACTATTTACTAATTAGAATTCGAAGACGGAAGCCATTGGATATATAATTATTTGTTTTCATATTGTGAATTAATGTGCTTTTAAGAATCCTAAAAAAGCTTTTTCCTGCAATTGTTACTCCGCTTTAGGACTAAACTGGGTTGTCTGATAGATCGGCCTCAAGTGCGCAACGTTTATTGGGTGCATCAAGAAGCGTGGATTTACATTTTCTGGAACACAATGTGTAATGCACCAGATTTTGAGAAGGAATAACGAAAGAAGATAAGCTACAACATCCGTATTTGGATTTAACGCAGTCGTTACGAATGTTAAGAGCTAATTAAAATACGCTTGGACAATTTCCTTGGATGGAGTTTTGGTATACTGGTTGATGGAATCGACGTTATGGATGGTTGCAGATGGGTGCGTATCTCCCCCTCAATGCGTGAAACACATTTGAAATGTCGGGTTTGGTCATAGATTCTTTGTTGCTAAAATGTAGACTGGATACATAAAATATTTCACAGCTAACCTTCCTCGGATGCAAGTAGGCTATGCGCATAGTGTTTGTTCAGAACTCCAGCTTTAGAAATTGTTGCCACTATAGTTGCATGGAATAGGCTTGTGTCGTTATTACATTTACATTTTAGTCATTTAGCAGACGCTCTTATCCAGAGCGACTTACAGTTAGTGAGTGCATACTTTTGTCATACTTTTTTCATACTTATGTCGAGATGGGTGTCCTTGGGAACACTCATCTGGTGCTTCAATCTGTAGAGTTGGCTTAATATTCTACATGCTTGTGTCCTCTACTCGGTGTGTCTATTTAACACAGGCCATTAGAATTTAGAAAGGAATCAAAACGGTCATAGTATGGTTGTCAGAGGAGAGGAGCTCACGCGCAAACACCCCTCCCCCACGGTAGCCTAGTTGTTTTCATTCATAAGGTTTCCCCCCTTATTTCGATTCGTCTCTATCACATGGGGCGTCGCTCGGACCGCTAAACCCGATGGCATAGACATTTGATGTATGATATGGCTATAAACGGCGTATTTATGTCCTTTTTTTAAATACAATAATTAGGCTACCCATCTATATAGTGGCTAAACATAGTTGTTGTGCTACTGTGGATTTTCATGAAGCGAAGTCAATAAATTATAGAGCTCTGATCATAAGCAAGCTGTCTTCAGGTAGAGAATACTATCTGTAAATTGTATCAGTTTTTAGACCGCGCCAATATGTGTTTATTTCATTTGCGTTCCTGTTTCAACGGATACGCGTTTATAGGTAGGCCTGATACCTCGGCTAATTCCAGAATATGTTTATATCCAATAGGCCTACGAGTAACGGTATTGGGTTTAATTCGGTTGTAAAATGTGCTTTTCAAGTTCTTGAGAAGCACAATAACTTAAACATTTGCTTGAAATTACATGGACATAAAGTCGACACTGATATTGTGGGATTTTGTCGTGACCTTAGTTTTTTTGTTTACCCTATTGTCTTCACATTTCCTTCAGTCTTCCGTTTAGTAATAGAATAATAAGTGAGGCAGCTCATTTTGTCCTCTTGGATCGTGGCTTCGTTCCGTCGCCGTGGCGCTTTATAATGTTAACTAGTCATACATATGTAAATTAGACCGGGAAGTGTTTGGATGTGTGGATATTGAGGAAGCTACAAAACTAGTTAAGTCTACTTTTCCACGGCTTGCTTCGCCCAGAGGGTTAAAATGTGCCATTGTAAAGGCGATGTTGATCAAATAAAATAGTTGGGCTAAGTGAACATGTTCTTAACATTGTTGAAAATGTTGAAGGTAGGCCTGCTGAAGTGTTAAAATATAGGTTTTAAAAGTACAAAATAGCGTAACCTAATCATCTCCTCAATAGACGTTGCTCTTACACTGTATTATAACAGATGATCATTGATCAAAAATGTTTGAACTATATGGAGACCATCCAGGGATCTATTGTCAGCTCTTTAGCCTTTCCCATCATGAGTTGAATCTAAAATGCTATGGGAACAGTATTCAAAACCTCCACCATCCTAGTTCACATTTACAAACGACATCCTTGTCTTTACTGATGGCCCTTCTCTGTGTCTCCCTTGCCGCTCCCTCGCAGGTTTTCTGATGCATGCCAAGTCCACGGTGAATGTCGGAAGTGGTGATCACCCCAGATGGCGCTCCAAAGTCAACATGGCCCTGGCGGTTCATTAGTGGTGATCCAGCAACCTTCCCTGGAGGGCCGGCAGAGGTCGGATTACGAGCGGGAGCTCCAGCATGCCGCCATCCTCTCCCTGGACCAAATCAAGGCCATCCGCTCCAGCAACGAGTACACAGAGGGGCCCTCGGTGGTCCGGAGGCCCCCCGCGCCCCGCATGGCACCCAGACCCGACAAGCAGCAGGAGAGGACTCACGAGGTGATCCTCGTTAATGTGAACAACAACTACGAGCGCCGGCCGGTAGGGCAGGGCCACCATGGCGGTGTGGTGGTAGTAGCCGGGGGCCAGCAGTGTAGCACCAGGGCCCCGGGCCTTAATCGCTCCACCAGTACGGGCAGCGCGGCCAGCTCAGGGAGCAACAGCAGTGCATCCTCTGAGCATGGACTCCTGGCCCGCTCGCCTCCTTCTAGACCGGGGTTGGTGGCCCTCCACCAGCACCACCACAGAGCCGAGAGGACTCAGCCTGTTCGGACTCAGCCCAAGGCGCTGCTAGCCCCCCAGCAGGGCTCTCACCCGCTGCCACCACTGGAGGCACCGCTCAAGCCCTCAGGGAAAGGGGACGTGGCGTCTGGCCACCAGTTCATCTGCGAACGCTGCGGGAAGTGCAAGTGCGGGGAATGCACAGCCCCAAGGACCCTGCCCTCGTGCCTGGCCTGCAACGGCCAGTGCCTGTGCTCGGTGGAGAGCGCCCTGGAGCATGGCACATGCATGTGCCTGGTCAAGGGCATCTTCTACCACTGTTCCAACGATGACGAAGGAGACTCGTGTGCCGACCACCCCTGCTCGCTGTCGCGCTCCCACTGCTGCTCACGCTTCCTCTGCATGGGATTACTGTCGGTACTGTTCCCCTGTTTGCTGTGCTACCCGCCCGTCAAGGGGTGCCTGAAGGCGTGCCAGGGCTGCTACGACCAAGTCAACAGGCCCGGATGCCGCTGCAAGAACTCCAACACTGTCTATTGCAAAATGGAGAGCTGGTCCCAACAGGCCCTGGAAAAGCCTTCCTGATCCCGTGTGTGTGTGGGAAGATCCCCCGTGGGGTTCTGACGATGATAATAATATTCACTATTGATGTTAATCAAACATTTTAAGCACCTCCCACCCGCTTCCCTTTCTCCAACGGGGAATCCCGCTAGGAGTAAAGCATGGAATATGAAAACCACTCAACTATTTTTATATTTCCTTTTTTTTCGACAAGACCATGTTTTTACAGACCAGTGTTTGTCTTAACTGTTTCTTTCTCTCTTCAGCTACTCATTAATAATTTTCTGTTAGCTAGGCAGTTTCCCTGGTGCTTTAAGCTTCAAGTGAGAGCAGCCTCTTACCAAATCTGTGAAGGACTATCTAGCCAGGCAATATGTAGCTGTTACCACGTGTTCATAGCAAATGAGGATTGTTTGAATTCCCAGTTGCTACCACACTAAGACCATGGTTTTCTGTGCTCAAGTTGCATTCTGGAAAGCACATCCATCTCATAGTATTCTGTTGGATATGTTTGTCCCTCTCCCCCACTCATCATTCACACACATTCTGTGGCATTCTTCCCAGTTTTTGTTTCCATTTTGTAAACTGTATGCTCAAATCCATAAGAGAAATTCTGGCTATTTTTTTAAAGAAAATGTCTGTTAAAACATTTTTTTTGTTGTAAAAATATTTATTATGTGAAGCTCTATTTTATGATATTTATTGCAAAAGACAGTCTTAAATTTACTCATGTCTGAATATAACAAAATATCAATACTTACTGAAAAATTAAAGGGTGGCACAAAATAAAAAACTGTTAACTTTAATGCAGAAAATATATTAATAATGAAAAAAAAAATGTTGTCTTGATTATCCTCATTACATTGACCCTTGGGAGTGATTAGCACTGGTTTTAATGCTTTCAGGGTATTGAGATGTTTCATAAGCAGTGAATGGGTCCAAGTTTGGTTCTTGCATAATCCATAGAGTACAATTCTGAAACTGAGAACGAACTTTGGTTGATGAGTTATTTCAAGCAAGTGGTGCTTTTCTTTGCATAACTTGGAATACTTTGGTTAACAGCAAGTTGATATTTACTCATTTGTTGACGTGTGGAATTCTGCGGAAAATGACTTAGTGAGTAAAAGTTTTCAAGATATAGAACTTTCAAAATATACAGTTGAAGTCGGAAGTTTGCATACACTTAGGTTGGAGTCATTTAAACCCGTTTTTCAACCACTCCACAAATGTCTTGTTAACAAACTAGAGTTTTGGCAAGTCGGTTAGGACATCTACTTTGTGCATGACACAAGTAATTTTTCCAACAGTTGTTTACAGACAGATTATTTCACTTATAATTCACTGTATCACAATTCCAGTGGGTCAGAAGTTTACATACACTAATTTGACTGTGCCTTTAAACAGCTAGGAAAATTCCAGAAAATGATGTCATGGCTTTAGAAGCTTCTGATAGGCTAATTGACATAATTTGAGTCAATTGGAGGTGTACCTGTGGATGTATTTCAAGGCCTACCTTCAAACTCAGTGCCTCTTTGCTTGACATAATGGGAAAATCAAAAGAAATCAGCCAAGACCTCAGAAAAAAAAAGGTAGACCTCCACAAGTCTGGTTCATCCTTGGGAGCAATTTCCAAACGCCTAAAGGTACCACGTTCATCTGTACAAACAGTAGTACGTAAGTATAAACACCATGGGACCACGCAGCCGTCATACCGCGCAGGAAGGAGATGCGTTCTGACTCCTAGAGATGAACGTATTTTGGTGCGAAAAGTGCAAATCAATCCCAGAACAACAGCAAAGGACCTTGTGAAGATGCTGGAGGAAACCGGTACAAAAGTATCTATATCGACAGTAAAACAAGTCCTATATCGACATAACCTGAAAGGCCGCTCATCAAGGAAGAAGCCACTGCTCCAAAACCTCCATAACAAAGCCAGACTATGGTTTGCAACTGCACATGGGCACAAAGATTGTACTTTTTGGAGAAATGTCCTCTGGTCTGATGAAACTAAAATATAACTATTTGGCCATAATGACCATCGTTATGTTTGGAGGAAAAAGGGGTAGGCTTGCAAGCCGAAGAACACCATCCCAACTGAAGCACGGGGGTGACAGCATCATGCTGTGGGGGTGCTTTGCTGCAGGAGGGACTGGTGCACTTCACAAAATAGATAGCATCATGAGGAAGGAACATGATGTGGATATATTGAAGCAACATCTCAAGACATCAGTCAGGAAGTTAAAGCTTGGTCGCAAATGGGTCTTCCAAATGGACAATGACCCCAAGCATACTTCCAAAGTTGTGGCAAAATGGCTTAAGGACAACAAAGTCAAGGTATTGGAGTGGCCATCACAAAGCCCTGACCTCAATCCTATAGAAAATGTGTGGGCAGAACTGAAAAAGTGTGTGCGAGCAAGGAGGCCTACAAACCTGACTCAGTTACACCAGCTCTGTAGGAGGAATGGGCCAAAATTCACCCAACTTATTGTGGGAAGCTTGTGGAAGGCTACCCGAAACGTTTGAACCAAGTTAAACCATTTAAAGGCAATGCTATCAAATACTAATTGAGTGTATGTAAACTTCTGACCCACTGGGAATGTGATGAAATAAATAAAAGCTGAAATAAATCATTCTCTACTATTATTCTGACATTTCACATTCTTAAAATAAAGTGGTGATCCTAACTGACCTAATACAGGGAATTTTTACTAGGATTAAATGTCTGGAATTGTGAAAAACTGAGTTTAAAAGTATTTGGCTAAGTTGTATGTAAACTTCCGACTTCAACTGTAGAAAGTGCAAAACGCATCATACTTTCTGTATTTTAAATGTTCTATATCTTAACTTGATTGTTGACATGCAAAACATTTTGGGACTGTATCAACAGTGGACTAATGAAACAAATACCAAAGTAGTAGTTCAGTGGTATGCTTTTAAGAAATTCCATTTCAGCCAAGAGGTCACCACTAAACTAAGCCATAGCTTCATTCATTTGTTTAAAAAGTTGCTAGATCAGGATGTTCCCAACTCCCAAATGGTCTCCATATTGTGAGGCCACAGTGTGTGTCTAAGAAATGAGAGCCACCATTACGACTACCCAAGGCCACCTGTTCAAAGATAATAAACCAGCTATCAATGCTGAGCTTTTATGGCATGGTTCCTGCACTAAAGGCAAAGATGGGGCCGATACAGCCCCCATTTGGCCACCCCTTTTTGTCATTGAATTTATCACTCTGGAAGTTTTCTGACCCCCAGGGGATGAGCTCATCACTTCTAAAGTTGGTGGGCCTGAAATGGCAGACCGGCAACAGGAAATGTAGTGAAATATTAGGGTTTAACTTTGAGGTTAGTCTGAAATACTATGTTTCAGTTTAGCTGGAGCAGGAAACCCTTGACCTTGAGTAAAACAAGCACAGTTGTTCAGGTAGGTAAAATGTGTAATATAACTAGGTTGTGTGTTAAACATTGAGAAGGGGGTATTTATGTCAAACCAAGTGGCATTTTGTGATTTAGCTAACTAGGCTCTTGCTGGGCCCAACCTGTAGGATTCCCTGTCACTATGGTTCAACAGTTTGCATGAACAGAATAACCCTTCCAAATGGCTCCTTTTATTTAATGTGCCTTTTCACATTTTGTGGCTGGAATTTACCTTTTTTTTTTTACACTGAATTAAGAGTGGATTAGTGATTTGTCAATTGCCTGTTACCTTTTAGAGCTGGAATTCAAGCCCCATTTTCTCATGGCTCCTGGACATTTGCAATCAACTCTTATATATTTTTTCAGGTTTCACTTTAGATCCCTGAGACAGAGGACAGAGCTAAAACTGTATTCAGGAGGTGGCCAACAGGAAGCTAATGTTTACTTGATATTTTCCAGCCTGATCCAAATAAGGAAACATCTTCGCTCCCCATTTCCAGGTCTCAGATTTTAACAAGAGACCCTTAAAAGCCTTCCTTTTTTCAATCAGAAGAAATGCCTAGCGGTTAAGAGTGTTGGGCCAGTAACCAAAAGGTCGCTGGTTCTAATCCTTGAGCTGACTAGGTGACAAATCTGCCAATGTGCCCTTGAGCAAGGTACTTAACCCTAAGTTGTTCTGGAGAAGAGTGACTAAAATGTAAATGCCAAAATAATGTAAGGGTCTTAATATATGTTTCCCTTTTCAAGGATCCCACTCCAAGAAATTATTTGTCATCATCGCCCCTACAAGCTTCCATATTATTATTCATCATCCTCGTGTCAAGTCCCACGCTGGGGTGAAAGTCAATCTGAGTCAGTTAAGTAATTCCATGGCACAAGTTGCCACAAAGCGAACTGGCTCCCTCGCACTTGATGCAGAGTAAATTTAGCAGCACCACACGCCCACTGGGTGCTATTTTTGAGTGTGTAAAGCTTGGCGGCCCTACTCCCGGGGCCCTCTGACAGCATTGGGGCCTTGAGAGTGCAAACATGCATGACTACCGTGTGAGTCACCACGGTGGAACCTCCAACCCACAAGCTCTGCTGCCTTCCGGGGCTGTCCTTAGCCAGGGCACTGCTGCTGACGCTGAAGGTCTTCTATACACACTCCCCGGAGCATTCGTCACCAAAGGCAAAGCTAAGCTTTCAGTTTGCCTAACCTCGGTGCCTTTCCATTATTTTCTTAATACCATCTACAGTGGGGAGAACAAGTATTTGATACACTGCCGATTTTGCAGGTTTTCCTACTTACAAAGCATGTAGAGGTCTGTAATTTTTATCATAGGTACACTTCAACTGTGAGAGACGGAATCTAAAACAAAAATCCAGAAAATCATATTGTATGATTTTTAAGTAATTAATTTGCATTTTATTGCATGACATAAGTATTTGATACATCAGAAAAGCAGAACTTAATATTTGGTACAGAAACCTTTGTTTGCAATTACAGAGATCATACGTTTCCTGTAGCTCTTGACCAGGTTTGCACACACTGCAGCAGGGATTTTGGCCCACTCCTCCATACAGACCTTCTCCAGATCCTTCAGGTTTCGTGGCTGTCACTGGGC